CCCCCCCCCGATTACCAGATAAACTTTTTTTTCGCAAGTCTGTTGCCACAGATTATGCATTACTGAAATGGTTCAATAACGTAATGGAAATTAAATGGTCATCGAGGAATAACCGCACACCACTGCTTGGACTGCGTCATACAGACCTTCGTCAGTCTGTCCATTTCAGTGTACTGCGTCTTCTGACGCAGTAATCACTGTTCATCGCAGTTCGTATACCATCTGTCCAAATTAAAATACAAGAGAAAGTTGCATGGCCCGGAAAAATCGCAATAAAATGAAAACCTGAAGCTATATATGAAAATCTGAAGCCGCCATAACAATTGGGTATTGTGGTGGTTCGTCAACAAGCAACAACAGTTCTGCAGATGGTCAGTTTCAAACGTGATGCATTTTCCTGAAATGCAACACAGTGAACGTTGTACGAAATCTAATTCAAGGGTATCTCCACACGGGATCCAATTATAAATCTATAAATGAAAGGAAACAGTTGCAAGAGAAATCGTACAGTTTGAGTAAATGTTAACAATTCCTAAATAAAAAGTCGTTTTTGGTTTTCCTGCAAGCTACGCGCCATTATTAAATGCTGCAGCTTCTATCAACCAAAAAAAACATGAATTTGCGAATCAACTGTATTTTCTAGCCTTCAAATAATTCGGTGCAAATGTACAATGCAATAAATTTCTCAGGAAAACCATTCTTTATAAAGCATACAGGAAATTTATATTTGGCAGGCTTCGCTAATTTATTCATCACACTTAATTCCTCTAATTTTCGACTGAAACATACTTACATAGCCTGATTTCGAGCCGTCCTTTCATCAGCCGATGCATTTGTGATTATCTTCACTTCTTGATACAACTCTGCTGCTACACGCGAGAAGTCTGATACATTCTTGTCATGAAACTTTTCCTAGATGCCCGTACAAAAATGGATAAAATTGTCAAAAGGTACGATGCATACTAGTTATCAGTATGAAATAAAACGTCGGAGGAAAATAAGATACTCTCGAAACGAATGAGACGAATTTACTAGCCACAAAAACACCATGTTTCTTGTCTTTTAAAAATGACAATGGCTTAATTCATGAAAGCACATTATGAAACGATGTCTGCACATAAATGAGCTCAACTCCATTCATAAACGGCAATAAATTTATGAGTTTGCAAAGGCAAACCCAGTGCCTATCATGCAAAGGAAACCTAATGATAACAATAACTTATAGAAAACAGCACCAAGAAAACTGTTGCTCATGACATTTTTTCATTCCTGATTTTGTCAAAGACCTTCTTTTTCTCTTACTCCCAAAACTCACTACCACGCTAAAGGCAATATAAAACTAGGTTAAAACGGTAATCAAGCCAGAAAATATTAAAACTTTTTTAACCACGGAGCTTTTAAAATCCCAAACACGGCATTTTTTCTTTCATTGATAAAGAAACACTGCGCCAGGCTTCCTAAAGCTCAGCGGTAAATAAAATTTTACTATTTTCAAACTTGATTAAGGTTAAAGTGTAAGCATTCACCTTAATTCAAGTTGCGTTAAATCACGAAAAGCTGTTCATAAAAAAACAAAAAATTAATTTGCATTCAGCATTAATCTATAGACATTACTGAATCATAAACCACACTTACGCAACGCGGTTTGGCAACAAACATCTCAGAAAAAAATATTGACAGAATTACACAAACCTAGCCCGATTACATTGGGCACAGAAAATAGGTCGATTTGGGGCGAAATGCAGACATCCGTGAGAACCTTGGTGTAAAGCCGCTGCTTCTTCCGATTGAGATGTGACAACTGTAATGTTGTGGGCGTGCGCTGCGAATGCCTCCAGAGAGAAAGGCCAAGCAACAATTTTTTGCCCACATGACCGGCAGAAGGCCCAGGGGACGGCAAAGTTTAACCTGGTGCAAATATACGTAAGGAGTCTGCTCCAGACTCCAGTTGTCTTCTGCCGAAGTTCAGACTCTGGCAGGATCGGGAACGTTGAAAGCACTGTCTTACGCATCTGCCTATTTGACCGGAATAGAGAAACGGTCAAGGAAGAAGATTTTATGAAAAGAGTTTAAAGAGAAGAAGGTGCCTTATAGGCAGTACGGTATATTTCATGATCCAAGCGTTTCTGCAACCTCAGGGTACAGTATTTGAAAAAATTTAAGGTAACATCATCACCGATCAATGAATGTTCTTGCTAAACGCATGGATGAATGTGATTTTCTGATTAGAAATGGCGTGATATGTTCTGTTTTCTCTCTAATTCTAGATATTCTTCGTTAGGCAGTGACTCTCCAGGGCTTTCAACATCTCCCAGGAGATGTGATCACGTCTCCCAGGAGTTGTGATTCTTTGTCCAAAGGACAAGGAGTATGATGAAAACAGTTAACAATGCTTTCATTTTTGGATTAATAGAGAAGGTTACAATTCTTATCCAGTTGCAATACTCCCCTTAATAGACACATTCCCCTATAAGAAAAAGTGACGCAGCGGGGCTACCCTAATTATCATCGTTTCGTTAGCAATTGTCCCATGCACCCGCACTTACTGAATCAAGAAAACAATACTATTACTGATATTATTTATTTACACAGTCGTAATGATGTACATTCTAATTATATATATTTTGTTTTAATATAAACTTAATATTATACCTGATTATAAATAAATAACGACATCCGTGACTTCGGATAATTAAGCTTCTTTAAGTATTCGAAATAAAAATCAATAAATGGCGTCACTCGGGTGATAAACACTGACAGCAGCACAGTAGGCCATTCTTCTTCCTTAAAACATAACGTTAACAAATGAAACAATTATGAAAAAGCCAAGACTCACATTCTTGTCTTTGAGAGATATGACATATTCTTTGCACGCTACACAACCATCTTTCGCATTCCACCAGTTTGCAAGATAATTACCAAAACTGTTCAAGTGTATCTAAAAATCATTAATTTACAATCATTAATTTAGAGCCAAACTTTTTTTAATACACTAGTTTTCTCAATTCGAAGATAGAATTGGATTCATGAATCAATCGTCATACTGAAAAGCAACCTAATCTCAGTTTAACTATAAACAGCACAAACGGGTCTATCAGATAGCAGATTTTACTAAATTTCGGCCTGTACCTCATGGACATTGTTCAGAGTAAAATCAATGGTGTTCAGTGTTGTCATCTGGAGCAGCTGGAACGTTTGGAGTCAAAGGACCTGCAGCTACAACGCTCCAGCTACGGCAGACGATGACATCCACGAACGATAAACGAACTGTTTTCGCTTTATCCTGAAGAAGAAAACTAAGATATAGGTAGATCACAAACGTGCATACTGATCCATCACATGACAGACCGATTCTTTGTATTTCATGTATGAATGCTTTTTCATTTTTATCGCATTTTCCATATGCTTTAGCATGAAGAACGAATTATTTTGGGAACGACTGCATGTAATGTAAAACTCGATTCAGTCAGAAAATAACAATCACGCATTTACAGATAAGTATGGAGAGGAATAGTACATCACTAATATGATGCAACGGCGTGTCATTATGAATAACAAATGTGCTGTTCTTATCTCGATTGATGGTTTAAGACAGCTGACTACGACGATGTACGTTCTTTATTCATCGATAGATTTAGACACCGTACACAGCCGTCATCATCAAGACAAAAAATGTTGCTGGAACTACGTGGGCATTTGAATGAATATCATCGGCAAACGGTTCATAAAGATTAACGAAACAATTATCCTTTCACTCAAATGCGCGTGCAACTTTAACTTAACTTCGTACAAATTCATGTGTACAATTTATCCTGATGATGACACTGCCATACGGTTTCGAAATTCTTTGATTAATAACGTATTTTTGATGATCCTAGTAATGTGTTGACTGCCATCGCGAATGAATAAAAGAAAACGCGCCTTCACTTTGCTGCACTTAATTAAAACAAATAATTAACATTTAATAAGGACCAGCAGTATTTCACAAGAAGTCCATTTCAGTAAATTATTTTCTATGATGCAAAATTGCATTAATTACAAAGAAACACTACAATTTTAGGAACGGAAAACTTCTGGATTAAAAGTTTAGGCAGCAGGGGGCACGTCTAGAATATAACACTCCTGTTGTGATCGTAATAAAAAATATTGAACAAAAATGAATACTAGAAAACCGTAACAAGGAAACGGAAATGTAACAAAGCACCACTTCTACTAAAGCACGTCAAGTAATCAAAAGTTGCTTTGTGTTGGTATAATGGAACGCTTTTTAGATCTAACGAATTATGCTGTCATGCATCCGTTAACTGCAGCGTACTCCTTCTTTAAATTCAGTGACCCACAAATTCAGCCAAACTTCTAATATAATGTAAAAATTTCTCAAACAACCTAACTCTCTTGGTGAAGTTTAGGAACAGCTGAGATATCTAATTGATTTAAATAAGATTCTAACATAAGATTATGATCAAGCGATCGCTGATTATATTTATTTATACAAAAAATTTTATACACTTTAGTTTGTCTGTATAAAAAATTATAAAACAATGTCAGGATAGAGGACAGCCCACAGGATAACATACCGGATTATCATATTCATATGCAACAAAGTCGACACCAAGTCGCTTTTTATCTGAAACAAGGAAGTGAAAGCAGTACTGATCTTATTCCATACTAACGGCTTGAAAAACAGTCGTATCACTTCTTTCTTATGGGAATAGAGACAGGATGAAACGCGCGTTTGTCTGTGATGAAGTTCATAGACTGTAGCCTGCTACGGACACGAAAAATACTGACGGAGAGACTGACAATATATTGCTTACCTTGCTGTTTCCATTGCCATGTATGATGATCGGCGAAGTACCATAGGCATTGTTAATCAGCTGTAGACTCTTTCCAGCAGATGAAAAGTCTATCTTAACATCTTCAGCGGCGCCGTTCAAATTTTGAAAGATTTCAGAAGTGCCGTCCAACTTAATGTCCAATTCTTCCTGCAATGTTTTGGCTAGGTGACAGTTAGTAATGCTGAGTGCTAGTGCAACTCACTCTCAGATGGTCGTCTAGGTACAGCATTGTGTAAAACAGCTGGTCATCCTCTCCGTCTTCGATCGGCTGATGAGTGATCATCTTGTACACTTGCGGGGCATATCCGATGAATGCCCCAGAATTTAAGTACCGCTTGCCAAACTTGACGATCGGATATTTCGCCTAAACTCCAACTATCATAAACAGATCTGCATCCATTCACAAATAATATCGAACTTACTGCTAAAGTAGAATCCGGCCAACAAAATCCCTCAGCAGAAAACAGAACCTTTGCCTCTTGCTTGTAAAACCTTTTAAGAATTTCATCCGTATTGGCGTTCACAATGACATCGTAACTAAAATGGTGTCAATAAAATATTTTCTTCTGGCAGGCACTCAGAATTAATAGGAATTAGTGCCCTGTGCTTTCTACACGTGTTCGATAAGGCAACGCAGTGACAGAAAAACGACATACAGTTGATAGAGTCGCTTTACAGTGGCAAAGCAAATTTTTATGTTTTTTAACCTATATACAAATTAAGTTAAAATCTACAACTAGCTATCGCACTAACAACACGCCAAGCATTCCAAACCTTCAGCTAACAAAGATGAATATAATAAAAAACTTATGAAAAGTGGCTTAATACAAATATGCAAAAGTAGGTTCACCACAAAGTACTATTTCATTTCTCGACATCATAGTATAATAGATTACAACCAGGAGTTCACTATGAGTGAAAGGATAGATCTTCAGTAGTTCTGAGGTACCATTTAACCTCTGACCAGCGCATCTTAGGCTCTGGTGGTATGGGCGCTGCTGGTAAAGGTGAGTAACACTGAGCGTTTGGCCGTATTTCTTGCGGCATCACAGTTTCTCAAATGAGAAAGCAAAGAAATGAAGCACTGTGCGACAGGAAAGTGAAGGCGGGGAGGTGAAATGTAAGTATCCCTACACACAATATGTTAACGCACATAAGACCGTAAACAGCAGACTCACAGACCGTACGAACAAACATATAAGTACTTTAATTTAAGAAAATAAAAGGTAAATCCTTGTTTATCTTGATATCTGTTTGATCAAATTTGAACAGCTATAGTTAAACACACATACGCTTATGTTACGAAATCTTGTTAAAGTAGGACTTTAAAAGGACAATCGAAATGAACACAAAAATCAAAATAAAATTACCTATCGATAAACAGTACAATGAGGTTCTCGTCGTTCCTGTATTTCTGCAATGCCTCTCGTAACAATCGAATTTTCTGACCGCCTCCAGTATAGTAACGAACATCCCCACCGTTCCAGGTAGTTCCTAGACCGAGCACCTAAAAAAATTGAAATTCAAAGGAAGAACATTCATGCCTTTAATATGGAAGGTCAGCAAGCAATTTTGTCTCAAAGCAGGTTAAACTGTCCTTCATATGCAAATCTAACGAAAGCTCATAAATACAAAAAGGTAATTAAACAGACATGTGTAAATGCTACAATTTAAATTTAAAGAATCTACTAAAAGTAACACTTTAATTTAAAGAGCTATATTATACAACAAACACTGCAGTATGTTCGTTATACTTCATAAATGTAATGATTTTCCAGTTACAGTTCCTCTTTTTAAGTAAATCCTTGTTTCTAACTGCCGCAAAATGACATTTACTCACACGTCATGATGACATTTACGCCACTAGTCTGAGGATGAGGGAGGATGATAGTTTCACTGATACTCATATGCAAAGACTTCTTTTTTTCATGGTTTCATGCTGCTGTCTGAAACCCATTCAGAAGTTTGTTACTGATCACGGATAAAGGTTCTAATTAAACGGTTACTACCAAGAATCCGAAAGACTTCACTAAAAGCCAATTCATTGGGCAAAATCGACGTTTTCTATCATCATCGTAAACACCAAGCAGCAGTAGAAAAGAAATTTTATACACGTGATTTAGGCTACTATATGATCTGTTTGTGGACCCTTTCCTGACGTGCCAAGGTGATGAGTCTATCGGTGTAGGAGATGTGAAGACGAAAAGGTTTCTGTCTGCAGACGATCTTGTTTTATTAGCAACTTCTGAAACTGATCTTCAGCGCTCCATATAAAAGTTCGCAGCCGAGTGCGACGCGACCGGCATGCGTGTGAACACATCTAAACGAAAAGCCTAGTGTTTTCTTGTTCTCCTGCCTGTTGCTCTCTTCAGATGAACAGAAAGGCAGTGGAGCATGTGGCGAAGTTCAAGTACCTCAGAATTGTATTTACTAGTGATGGAAAATTCGAGGAAGAGATCGACCGGCGAATTGGAGTAGCCAGTGGTGTTCTGCTTGAAGTATTCCGATCCACTGTGACTAATGCAGAGCTCAGTCTGAAAACTAAGCTCTCCGTGTTCAAGTCGATCTTTCCCCATGCTTACTGTCACGTAACCTACGGTCATGAGTCGTGGACCATCACTGAAAAACTTCGAACCCGGGTAGAAGCTGCTGAAATGGGCTTTCTTAGGCGAGTCGCTAGCCTTACGCGTCTCGACATGGTCCGGAATACTGGCATAGCGATAGCCTTGGTGTACAGTCTCTGTTTGCCCAGTTTGAGAAGTCACATCTGCGATGCTTTGGTAATGTGTTGCGAATGCCTCCAGAAATGAAAGCTAAGGTTGTTTCTTGTGGATCCGACCGGCAGAAGACCCAAAGGATGGCGAAGATTAACCCGGTGCAAATATATGAAAGGAGTCTGTACCGGACTCCAGTTGTCTTCTGCTGAAGCTCAGACTCTGCAGAGGATCGGGAACGTCGGAAGTTGTTTGACGCGTCTGCCTCCGCGATCCGAAAAGAGAAGCGGCGACGGAAGATGAAGATGATCTGTTTAGACTAATGGTCATGTCCCCATTATTTAAGACCAAATTATATTGTTCTTC